TTTGCTACCTCCACTTTACAGAATGCAAAGAGATGCTAGTACCTGCTCAACCTGAGGTTCCTGAGATTTCTTTATTGGTGTTCAAACTGTCATTCCTCCTGTTTCATCATTTGTATCCGCCTACTTAATCAGATGTCAGTAAGAGACGGAAGTATACTTTGAATCAACAGTGTCCATTGCCTGGGATTATTTTGTAGTCTACAGATGAAGCAGGACTTTTTTTTTTTAACAGTATTGTCAAAAACTCAGGAAGCTCAGCTCAAGCTCAGGAAAAAAAATGAATTTACACAGTCATTCAGATCTATTCACTGCCTGGAACAGACACTTTTAAGCTATCATACCTGCAGAGATTCATAATCTTCTATGAACATTTCATACAGACTCTTTGAACCTCGTATTACCAACTCTTTTTGAACTGAATGCCAAATCAAGAATGTATCCTGTTCCATGAATGGAATTTGATATTAGTGGGGACAGGTGTTCCCGAATCTGGAAATACTGTGCTGTTTCTTACTGGGTAACTTCAGCACATTCACTGAATATCCTCGACAAGAAGCCTAGCAAAATGCAGACACCAGAGTGTCAGGTAGAGAAGTAGGAAGAGAAGTCTTGGGGCACTCAAAATCATAATCGTCAATCTGTACTCTTGTCATACCTTTTTATTGTTTTAAAGAGGAACCTAAGCATTTGCATGTAATTCAGCAAAACAATATTGATCCTCCTTCAAAAAGTTGTACTATGGCTTCGTAGATACATAACTATAAGAGATATAATAAAAAAGTATTGTATCTGCACTGCTTTCTCAACCACTATCTGCCATGCTTGATGATCTCAATTAACTCTGGCATTCAATTACTTTGTGTTTTTGGCCTATGTAACTATATTTTGTTCTTATCTCTTAATCTCTTAAATTGTCTTGGTGGGGATTATGTCTAGGTTCAGTCTATCAATAATTGGTCACTGAATATTGAAAGCTAACAATGTTAACTGCTCTTTCAAGAAGAGCTAAATGTGTACTTGAGTCTTCACTTGGCAAAGATAGCTCCGAGTTGTTCTGGAAAATGTCAATAGATAGAGGGAATTGGGGGGGGGAGAGTATGGTTTTCTTTTTGTTGTTATATAACTTAGATGCAATCATTTCTCTGTAAACTGCATACACCAACATATTAACAGTTGTTTGAAGTAGTGNACACTGCAACTGTCATACTGTATATGTGATTCAGTTGTCAAGCATCTGAATGTAAATCATGTGACCGTGGGGATGCTGCAACAGTCATACGTGTGAAAAATGGTCATAAGTCACTTTTTTCAGTGTGCTTGTAACTTCAACTGGTCACTAAGTGAACTGTTGTAAGTTGAGGACTATTTGAATTTTTGGGGAACATTGCTTATGTTTATTCCACTGAAATATTTTAAACAGCTTGTTAAATTTACAGTAATATTTTTTCTATGGAAAAAATACATATGAAACAACAGGATTTCTCTATCAGTTACAGTTTTCGTATAATAATGGTGGTTTTCATTTTCTTGAACATACATTAAAAAGGGTGAGGTTGCACCTGATATTTTGAAGCCAATGAACATTGCTATGGATGCTCCTCCTTAACTTTTCCAGTGTCTTCAATTTCTTCTAATTCTTTCAATTTGGTCAAGAATATGTTTTCCATATAATCCACTTATGTCATATGTCTAAAGTGTGTGAGTTCAATGTTTTTTTTATAAATGTTAGTAGTCTGTTGTAATTTCTTCTGTAGAGTATGTAAGGTTTATTTTCATAATATACTGTATGCTTACTAATTTAATAAAAATTAATTGCTGTAGGAAAACATGTTTCTATGTTACATAGAGTAGACATCTATTCTTGTTAGATCTCTCCGCAGTAACATTTTCAAGATGCATACTGCCAAGCACCTGCATAATGAAATTTTTATCTCTTGCCAGTAGATGTCAGTCAAACATTTATTATCCATTAGTTTGAAATCTTCTAGTTAATAAATGACTTTGAATGCAAAAGTAAAGTTTTACAAATTATAGAAATATTGCACATCAATGACCAAGCTAATACATTTTCCAGAAATTTATTTGGCTAGATGTTGGCAACGTAATAAACTATAATGAAAAGGATTAAAATACAGTTTAAATAGGTTAAATTGGCATTAAGAGATGTTATTTAAAATTAATATAGTACATTTCATTTGTTTTCCCCCCAAGATCAACATTGTCACTTCCTGTATGTTAAACTGAATTTTAAAAGGAAAGACTTCATTATATTGCTAGATTTTTGCATGTACAGCTCTAGGTTTTGGGCTATAGGCCAAGAATGAGCTTTTAGGTCTGATAGATGTTTGCAATTTTAAAAATGTGGACAACTACAGAAAATAGCGCTCTAACTGGAGGTAGCTCTTCATAAAATATCTGCTACCCAGAAAACAGTAGTGTAACTGCTTCATTTCATTCCTTCCAATCTGCCAAGATAATATCTATCAGTTCCACTTGTTTTTTGACCGTTTTTCCTTGGCAGAAGGACATATTTCCAAGTAAAGCATCAAACTGCAGCTACACATCATTTTTATTTTCTGACAATTCCTTTGGGCGAATACATTCATATAAATAAAGATGGTGCTAGAAATTGCTACTTGGCTTATCAGCAAGCATCCTGCTCTTATTCACTGCACCTGAAAATAAAGTCATAAGGATACCAGAGGGGTTTCAGAGGACATCATGTTGTCTTTCACTGCTGTAGCAAATGTGATAAACATTTGAAGCATTTATTTTTATAAATATTCACAAATGGAATATTTCAAAACATTCTGCAGTATAAAAGTAGCATTTTAATGTGTAAAGTTATCTCAGACTGATAACATTTGCAAAATTGCTTTTGTACTCAGCTTCATATATGCCAGGAATGCCAAGCGGAATCTCTCCTTTTCCTCCTGGACAACCTCCTAACCCAAGGTAAAATAAATCTGCTTACACGGTGAGAAACATAGTAATTTTGATTATGTCCTGTTGTGCTATTTCTGAGATGGAATCTTAGTCTAAACATATGTTTCAAAAATATGCGCACTTCCAAATTGACCTCTATGAAGCTTTTCTTTTTGAGTCACTGCTTATTTAAAAAGTTTAAATAAATTTAGCTTTATTTTATTAATATTTTTTAGACAAGAATCTTCAGAAATTAGATGTTGCTTGATCAGGAGGTTGAACAAGATGTGTTACTTCATTTCCAGTAGCTCCACACCTTTAGAACTTTGCATAGAAAATCTGTAGGGAAATCTAAAACCTCATTTGTGTATCACACTTAAAATGCTTAAGTAGCAAGCTGGTGATCTACTTGGGTTTGGTAGATCTTTCTGCAGTCACTCAGAGAAAGAAGGCTTCCATGTTAGTTATACGTGTTTTTGGAATAGCCTTCATGTCATCTGCATCCTAAATTAACATGTAGATCATGATTTCATTCCGTGGTTTGTGGTAACCAGACATACAGTGGTGTATCTCATGCTGAGCTGATAGTAGTTTGCAAGAAAAGCCAGCAGATATATAGGAGAGTCATCATTCTCCTTTGAGGAAAGGTACTCTTAGTGCTCAAATGAACAAGCCCCACTTTCTTTTCCTTCTCTCTCCCATTCTTCTAAAGAAGCTTTCATCACATCCAAGAAAAGTTAGGACAGGTTCCTTCTGCATTAACTTCCGTAGTTGGTCCAGAAAAATTAATATCTTCTTTGTATGCATGCTTTTTTATATTTTCATTGCAAGCCCAGTCTCCCCAAACCTTCTTGAAGCTTGTATTCAACAGGAATACATTATTTTCTATGGATCTTCCTTACCATCTTTCATGATTATTGTGTTTTGTATGTGACCCTTATTTCCGCTGATCTATTCGCAAGGCCAGTTTAGTGTTCGATTATCATTCCCAAAATATGTTTTTAACCTGCCTAAATTGCCTTAACAAGCTTTCCGAACTTTTCTTTGATATTTGGAGGGATGGCAGATTTCCCTTAAACAGATATGGTTCAGTGTCAGAAAATTTATGTATGTGTATTGAATTCACATATATGCAAGGCATAGGTGTCTGTGAAAATGACTGGGCTCTATAACAGAGATCCTTGTCCTGGTTCTTCCTGCAATGCCACTCTAACATGCAAATGCATATGCAAAGGTACACAACAAGAAGGCAAATGAGATTCCCATATGTGAGCAGTTCTCACATGTAGGTCTAGGGATAGAGTCAGCAGTGGACAACAGTACTGGGAAATGCAAGGCTGTTCCTTTCCTTATGAATTTCTGAAATGTATATAGGAGATCTCAAATTTGTGGTAAAACTAGAACATTTTCACCACTGATCATGCTGGATTACATTGCTCAGCCTTCTAATTCAGCAACATCCAAGAACTACAACTCGGCAAATTTAAAGTATTTTTAAGGAAGCTAAGGGCTGCATTATTTGTATTCATTTGAATATTCTTTAATTTTAATTATTAATTGATGGCTACACAATTAGGTGAATTACTAGGGATGTTTTCAGTACTTATGGTCTTAATATAAATCCTGCAACATACTCAGTTTATTGGGGTCTTTTTTGTCCTCCCGTAGCATTCTTCTGTGTACTTTTCTGTTAAAAAGTTGTAATTCATTTTGATCATCTGTATGCGAAATACAGAATGCAAAAATACCATTTTATCTTCCAGGAGATATAGGAATCTGCTTGGTGTCCATGTTATGATTTAAAAGATTACAGTTTTCTTTTCATGAAAGTAACAGAGCAGAATGAAAACAGTTAACAAGAGACTAAGCCTTGAATAGCTGGATGCAGTGTCTTTCCTTCAAATATTTTGAACATGAGTTTAAAAATATAATATTCATGTATAAAAATAATATGAAGTAGTGTTCAAACATATAAGCATCAATGAATTTATCACTAGATTGAATGGTAATCTGATTATAGCTGAATCCATTAAGCTTCAATAATCCTATTTTGTTTTCTCTTTCATTTCCTGGTCAAGTGGTTATCCAGGCTACCCTTATACTGCACCTAGTGGGCCATTTCCAGCAACAACCAGCACACCACATTATCCTTCTCAACCTCCCGTAACCACTGTGGGTGAGTAATTTCAAAAGAACCATTTCAAGGTGGAAAGCGAGATTTGCATCTGCAAATGTACAAACCAAAATATTTACATTTACAAAAATTGTTGTTGGTTAGAGCAACAAAAGGAACCTATGATAAAAGCAGTATTTGATTTTTTAAACTAATTCTTACATTACATATATTGTTTTTCTTCCAATATTTGATTTACAAAAAGAAGGAATGATTTCTGCTGTTTCATTCATGAGGAGTGTTTTATTTTTAATTGATTGCTGTATGTGATAAAAATTTGTATGTGTTTGAAACTGTCATCTTAGCAAGTTGAAAATGAATTAAAGCCAAAAAGCAAATAGAACAAAATTACGTAATTGTTTTATTCTCTAATCTTATTCTGGGCAGCTAATCTTAGTTTTGACATTTAGATTTTGGGAGAAATTTTAACATGCTAATAAATGCATAGGAATACCGACAGTGTAATCACTACAATGCAAATAGTGATGCTGCAGCTAAATATAGTATAGTAAAGAATATAATTACAGATAAACATAGGAAACCTTAACAGTCAATGTTGCTGAAAATTTGTTTGAATAGGCTTGAGGTATCTTCAATATGTTCTTCAATGCATTTTCAGGCCTCCAGATTTCTTTTCTATTTATGTATTATTGAGCAGGTACATCATGTTAGAAGTAGCATGAATATCCAATTTCATGGGTAGATACTCAATAGATGTATGACTATTGTATGTAAATTTTACTTTCTGTCAGATAAAAATTCAGATCAGCAGCTGTTTTTTATTCCATACATCGCTAAATTCCTTACTGTTTTGGACTAAATGGTGCATTTACAATTAAATCCATTTGTAATAAGTCCTAGAAATTTGGAAGCTATGACCACACCTTGGCTATTCATTTGATTGGAACTTTGCCTTCCCAAGAAGTAAACATAAATCTTGAAACTCAAAAATTTGTTTAGAAGGCACAGCATCATTTAGTCCAGAAAGCAGACATGTTGACTCTCTTGTAATAATATTTTGTTGAAAAGCCAGAATGTATCCCCTTTTCCTAGTCATCCAAGATTACCAAGGCAGCTAATGTAGAAAAACAGAAAACAATTAAGATTTAATTAAGTGCCTAATAATATAATTATAAAATTTTCAAAAAAAGAGTAAATCTTAAGCTAAGATAGACGGAACTAAATTTGGCGCCCAAGACAATTTATTCCATAACTTGGGAACATCATGGAAGAAGTCCCCCTCCTGCGTTCTGAACGTGTCTTAAAAAAAGGACTTTCTCAAAGACTTTAGTATAGTATAGTGGATACTGGTTTGTAATTATACAAATCTTTTGGATTTAGGATTTTTTATACTTTAAAAAAATATCTTGTAAGTGCCTCTTTGAAGACAGAAGATGGTCATTGTGTTTAAGCATGAACCTTGGCTACTTTAATTAACAGTGGAAATTCTAAAGGGGACAACAAAATCATCAAGACCTTCATATCTTCAAGATTTACAATGAATAGTCAACTTTATCTGCTGCTGCATTGTTCATTGTCTACTATTCCTCTCCACATACTAAAGAAGAAGATGCTATTCAGGATGGAAAAACAGCAACAACTTACAGGTAGTCCTCAACTTACAACAGTTTGTTTAGTGACCATTCAGTTACAAAGGCACTGAAAAAAATGAGTTAGGACCGTTTTTCACACTTACAACCATTTCAGCATCTCCATAGTCACCTGATCAAAATTTGGATGCCTGGCAACTGACTTGTATTTATGACGGTTCCCGTATGCTGGGATCATGTGATCTCCTTTTGCAAGCTTCTGACAAGCAGAGTCAGAATTTAACAACTGCAGTGAATCATTTAACAACTGTGGCAAGAAAAGTCATAAAATGAGACAAAATTCACTTAACATATGTTTCACATAGCAACAGACATTTTGGGCTCAATTGTGATCATAAGTCGAGGACTACCTGTATTTGGATCTGACGCAATAAGAATGCAAAATATGGTTCCTTTTGCTACCTTCACTTTACAGAATGCAAAGAGATGTTAGTACCTGCTCAACCTAAGGTTCCTGAGATTTCTTTATTGGTGTTCAAACTGTCATTCCTCCTGTTTCATCATTTGTATCCGCCTACTTAATCAGATGTCAGTAAGAGACGGAAGTATACTTTGAATCAACAGTGTCCATTGCCTGGGATTATTTTGTAGTCTACAGATGAAGCAGGACTTTTTATTTTTTACAGTATTGTCAAAAACTCAGGAAGCTCAGCTCAAGCTCAGGAAAAAAAATGAATTTACACAGTCATTCAGATCTATTAACTGCCTGGAACAGACACTTTTAAGCTATCATACCTGCAGAGATTCATAATCTTCTATGAACATTTCATACAGACTCTTTAAACCTCGTATTACCAACTCTTTTTGAACTGAATGCCAAATCAAGAATGTATCCTGTTCCATGAATGGAATTTGATATTAGTGGGGACAGGTGTTCCCGAATCTGGAAATACTGTGCTGTTTCTTACTGGGTGACTTCAGCACATTCACTGAATATTCTCGACAAGAAGCCTAGCAAAATGCAGACACCAGAGTGTCAGGTAGAGAAGTAGGAAGAGAAGTCTTGGGAGACTCAAAATCATAATCGTCAATCTGTACTCTTGTCATACCTTTTTATTGTTTTAAAGAGGAACCTAAGCATTTGCATGTAATTCAGCAAAACAATATTGATCCTCCTTCAAAAAGTTGTACTATGGCTTCGTAGATACATAACTATAAGAGATATAATAAAAAAGTATTGTATCTGCACTGCTTTCTCAACCACTATGCTTGATGATCTCAATTAACTCTGGCATTCAATTACTTTGTGTTTTTTGGCCTATGTAACTATGTTTTGTTCTTATCTCTTAATCTCTTAAATTGTCTTGGTGGGGATTATGTCTAGGTTCAGTCTATCAATAATTGGTCACTGAATATTGAAAGCTAACAATGTTAACTGCTCTTTCAAGAAGAGCTAAATGTGTACTTGAGTCTTCACTTGGCAAAGATAGCTCCGAGTTGCTCTGGAAAATGTCAATAGATAGAGGGAATGGGGGGGGGGGAGTATGGTTTTCTTTTTGTTGTTATATAACTTAGATGCAATCATTTCTCTGTAAACTGCATACACCAACATATTAACAGTTGTTTGAAGTAGTGTTCAAATCAGATTGGCAATATGGAAAGTTTTTGTGTGTTTATGTCTAACATTTTGATTGTTTTTACATGGAGCAATACAGAAAACTATTCTGGGTAGAGTTTTCAGAAAGGGCTTTGACCACAAAGTTGATGAAGGATTAATGTATGTTTGTTCTCTTAATAGCAGATGGCAGAAGAAAGCAGAAACAGGTATGGATTTGTGGTCATTCTTATGTTTTCTGGGCAGAAAAACGGGCACTTGAAAGAAGCTTTGGTCCACAATTGGGAATTCGACTGGAGGATGCCAAATTACATTGGCTAGGAAAGAGTGGAATGGTGTGGGATCAATTAGTTCCCATCCTGTTGCATACACGACGGAGGCTAACAGATCCTGATATATTGGTGATCCATCTAGGAGGCAATGACTTGGGGACAGCCAGTAATTTGGATGTCATAAACCGAATGAAGAAAGATTTTGGACTTCTTAAGCAAATATTCAAGAATACCTTTCTAGTCTGGTCTAATATCATACCCCGGAAAGTATGGAATCAAGAGATACCCCATAAAGTGATGGAGAGAAGCAGAAGAATACTCAATGAAGAAATGGGCTATTTTATACAATATATTGGAGGGACTGTGATCCAACATGATTTACTTGTACCAGAATCTCCTGGATTGTTCCACCTAGATGGTGTGCTCTTATCTGAGAGTGGCACAGATATCTTCAACCTGGATTTACAAAGTGCTTTAGAAACTTTGGTTTGCTTTTAAATGGAAGAAAAATGATACCCATTATGTATTAACAACTGTGGAGACTTTTTACAAATAGAGAAAGTTCTGAAAAGCATGGTAACATGAATTTATAGATAACAGACAGCCTATGATTTAGCTGGGTACGGATTACTAAGGCAGTTATCTGTGACATTGCCCTATAATCTGCAAAGAATTTTTTTGTTAATGTGTTTACTATTTTTTTGCAAATACAGTTTATTTTTTCATTTACTTTAATTCACTTCTCATGTATGTTGAATGAGACTGCCAAACAAATTTATCCTTAATTGATCCCATCTCCCCAAAGTGAATATAGCATGATTATATCAATCTACAGTATAAGTAACAGTTTACAAAGCTGTTTCATGTGAGTCAGATAGAACTAATTATTAAGTGTTAACATATTGGGGTTAGGAGTTATTCCAGTTCTCCTGTAGAAGTTTGACAAACTCTTTTGTGTATGCTTTGAGGATCATGCACAAGGAGGGGAAAGGAAGGAAAATCCCATTACTCAAATGGAAGTCAGCTAATGTATGTTGAATATAGCCCACTATTACTGATTCAGCATTGCACCTTAGAACATTTGTTCTGCTTTTCAAAAAGTGGAAGATTATATAAATATAATGGGAAGATCAAATGAAGATCTAGTTTCTGACACACTGGTTTTTGAAAATACTTTTCCTAGCTAAAAATTTAAGCAATTCTATTTCACAATTGCATGTCTTATAGGCAGCAATTAGTGGCTGGTTTAAATGTAGTATTCCCAATTTAATACACATAATTTATTAAGCTAGGAATACCATTTTAGTCCCCCACATTCTTCTCCACCTTTCTGCCTTTTGTACCAGCTTTGATCCAGATCACAATATCTGTTAGTATTGAACTGTGGTATAAAGTTGTTTCATTTACTGAGCTCTTAATAATATGCATTGAACCATATCTCCCTATTTTTGGCATAATGGAAAATTGGTTTAAAAAATGGGGACTAAAGAATTGCTTCTCCTTCTTCTAGCAATTGTTCTAGATATGAGAGCTCTTAGACTTGCTGTAAGAAAGGTTTCAATGATTCATTTTTCTAATGCATGCAAAATAGTATCATATGCTTCTTAGAGCAGTTATGATACTTGTAAAATGCTATTTTAAATGAGAGGGTCTACAAAAACATTGTTTGTTAACTTTGAGTGAATAGATCGCTTGTGATAATTAAAATGAAATTGTAATTATTTTCCTGTCAATATTCCCCCTGGGATATCAAAGCACTTTAGAGTTTTTGTTTACTGTGCTTGAAGAAAATCTTTCTTTGATTCCAAATGCATAAAGGTAGAGATGGTCTGCTTATCCCAAAGGTATTGTTGAACTGTTTGACAGTAGCGCTATAAGAGAACAATGGCAGTTCATGGTTTGGCATCATTGATTTGAACCAGAATTTGCCTTGAAGGATTGTTCAAGGGAAGTACAATTTTAGAAGCAAGTAAGGAAAATTTACAATACAGAGACGTGTATATTTTCACACACAGCCCCTCCCCCACAAAACCCTCCCTAACCTACTGTGCAGTAACAATTTGTTTATTAAGGAGGAAACAATTTTGCAAACGAATCAAAACAAGACTCATTTTGTGTTTCAATATTGAATTCAACTTACACTGCATTTATGTGGTATTGTGACTTTAATTTTCTTAACAAGCAAGAGGGAAATCAATATTAATCATTTATGTCGATTTTCTGTCATTTCTGAAATGAGTTCCTTACTCAAAAGACTTCCAAGTCTGCTCAACCTCTAAAAGAGGGACTTTGAAAGCTTCATTCAATAATGAACTGAATGACTGAAAGTAAGACAAGTGGAATGGAATGTAGAAGACCAAGGTGTGGAGACGGCATCTTTTAAATATTAACTTCATAGAGTGAAACACTTGAGCAGATTTATTTTTTGTAATTTAGCTTAAGAATCTCTGAAGTTTCCAGCCAGATGAGGAGAATTATACTATCTGTGAGAGCAAATAGGACTGTGTTCAAATGTGTATGGCATGCTTCAGTTTTTTCCAGTGAGGGTTTAACAGCACAACTGTTGGAAACAGCAGTTTACCGATTGCCTTTTGTATATTTGCTTGTAAAAGAGGCTTTAAGCTCCAGTATTTTGTCAGGATTTATCTTTCATAAACTATTGACATTGGACATCTGTTTGAATCATCTGATTTCTATAATTTGGTGGGTTCTGTTTTAAAAATAATAAAACATTAGCCTTTGTTTTCTTGTACTGTATGGTATTAATGGGCATCTAATAATATCCTGCAATTTATTTTTCTCCAAATCCTGTTTTTGGAGCCATTAACAATCATGTGCTGACACGGCACTTAGTCTAATATCAGATATACTGGAAATGGTTGCATTTTCAATTATATTGGCTACCCTGAAAATAAAGCAACCATGTGGTATTTCAAAAGCTGAAAGCAAATGTTGGTGCCAGTATTTAATGGCCATTATTTATGGCTAAACATAATGGCTTTGATTCAAGCTTGTTTTTACCAGGACTTGAAAATGCCTTCCATTTGCACATGGTAGTCTCCTAATTTTTCCTCTCCAGATATTCATCCCTGTGCTCTAGTGTTGGGATACATATTTGCCAAACTGGTTTTGTGCCAGAGGGGCACTGGGCTCTATAAATAAGAAGAGATGGGGGTTGACCTGTTTATGAATACAGTGAATTATTATTCTTTGGAGAATAATTTGTTAAAAATATTAGAAATAGTCTTTCAGTCACAAATACTGAATATATATATTTACATTTGGTTAATATGTATAAAATCATTAAAACAACTACACATTGATTCTCTCTTTGTGAATAAGCAATACTACCATCAATAAAAGACCTACTGTTGCATTTAAATATTAGGGAATAGTTTGTCTGTCCACAACCAACACGGTGTTCTGTATATCTCAGATTTTGATAATACAGATACGTTTGGCAGATAATTACCTACAGCAGCATGAACCTAGTAATAGGTTTCATAGGATTCTCTGGGTGACCATAGTTTCCCAGAACTCTGTAACACAAACACAAATATTTTAGTTCCACATCACACTACTGGTTGGTACTAGTATTAATTTTTAAAGATGTCAGTGTCCTTTACATAAAGGGAAATGTAATTGTTATATGTTGTCCAGGTATCAACCTCACAGGACAAGTACTTTGATATTCTACACTGCTAATGTTTCCTTTCATTGGATGACTCTTGCAATTCATAATTGGAAGGAGCTATGTTGGTGATGGGATGAAAGGAAGAGACGTGCATTCATAACATCTCAGATTCGGTTTCCGGCATTTCTAGTTAAATATAGCAGGTAGTAGAGTCAGACTACAGCCTGATACTTCCAAGAGCCTCTTCCAGGCAGCCTGGCCAATGCTGGGATAGATGGACAAGTGGCTGGGCTTATCACTGTTTCTCTGTGTTCCTAAATCTCATCTGTAATGAGATCATTTGTAGAGCTTTTGGTTCAGCCCATGTGAAAACTTATTAATAAAAACCACTTTTTCCTGCTTGAAATAGGTCATTTTGAACTTGAAACAGATTGGATTTGAAATGTTTTGTGTTGTTTATGAAGTCCTTTTAAGCTTTTATTTGAAAGAGAGTGAAGAATGGTCTTGGTGGCATTCTGGGATAAATGATGTGTATTTACACGAAATAAATACTTAAATTCCACAAATAGTTTCCCTTTAAAATGCAAGATGATCTTCCATTTGCTAAGTGGTTTTGGCAGATGTGCCATGCAAGATGTTGTTTAGTCTTCAGTTCAGGATCATCTTATTAGCTAAAACCAGTAAATATTTTATATCTCCCAAATAATGTTCTCTGTAAGAGATGAGTTTTATAAATACTTGAGCTCTTCTGGGCAGGTTAGGAGAAGATGATGCAGAAGTCAAAAGACTTCTATTTTATTGTTTTATTTTTCCAGAAAATAATTCCCATTAAAAGAAATATAATTGTTCCTCTTTTTTTAGCAAACAAGCAAACAAAAACTTTACTCACCATAACCCTCTAGGTGGTTTCCACAGATCAGTTTTGTAGACTGAAAATGCTGCATATGACAGTGGCTATTATTTTGGATTTATAGCTGTTTTCCCTTTCTCAAGGACCAAGGGACATTTCAGGCCAGAACAAATTAATGAAGGAATCAATGGTGATGGTTTGTTGTCAGTGTTCTATTTTTTATATTAGAAAAGTGACTTTATTGTACCAAGATAATCTCAAGACTATTTCATTCTGAACTTGAATTAAAGAAAAACTTAGCACATAGTATCCTTTGGAAGTCAGCAAATCACCTGTTCAGCGATTCCCGTCTTGATTTATAACTTTAAATGAATTTCACTCTCTTACATAAAATTTCTGCCATGGGTAGCAATTCAATCTATTTAGATTAAATCTATTTAGATTAAATTAAGAAAATAATTGAGCAGTGTTAATATTTTAAGAAAAAATGTCTTATGAGTGATATTAAATGTCAGTTTATTGAGCAGCCAAGTTCAGTGCTGGGGGCTGCTTTTCTTTTGGGCTTAATTGGTAGTCTATATACTGTAAGGTCACAGTACCTTAAGGTCACTTCTGAAATCAGATTCCATATGGTAAAGGTTAAATGTTTCAAGTATTCCTTGTAATAAATGGCTGCATGCCACCTAGCTTCTTAGTGTGTGGCTAATTATGGAAGAAGGAAGGAGAAAATGCTAAGACTCATATTCTTAAAGGAGTAAACCAATATATTTTTCTTGTTTGGAATATATAATTTTCCTTGGTTTTTTGTACTTTTTTTAGACACATAAATTACTTTACACACACACACACACACAGTTATACATATGGTAATTGTTATTTTTTCTGGCCTTAAATTTGAGTTGTATGCAAGGTCTTCATAAATATGCACTTGTGAATTAGAAATCCAATTTGTGTTTGTCTTATCAGTATAGAGATTGTATAGTATACTGTAGTTTTAGGTGGTAACCATCTTAGCTAAAAGACTCACATTCTTTGATTAGAATTGTTTCTTCACCGCCCTTTGCACTGCCAAGGATGGGCAAGAGGAAACTCTGAGAGGGAAAATTCTGACATGCAAGTTTATGTTGGCACAATAGACTCTCCATAGGAGACTTCAGAGGGCCTGTTTTGGAAAAGTGTGAATTTAACAGCCACATCAAACAAGTAATTGTTGGGCTGGGATACATCAAAATGTTTCAGGCAATTCCAGAAGGTTTTAAAAAACACAATGGGTTTTTAACATGATACTAAAATTATAGTTTGTCTTCTATGAAACCTGCATCCTTCCCCTCCTTTTCCCTACACCTTACCCCAGTTTAAATCCTACATTAGTCTAGCCACTTTGCATCTGAATTGTGAACTGCAGTTCACAAAAGATTATGCCTTTCAAGAAAAATGAACTTTGTTAGTTAGCAAAAATGAGTCCAGATTATCTAAGGCAAAAGGTAGGTGAATTTGAAATAAGACTATTACATACAACTTTGCATTCACTGTGTTGTTGTAAATCATGGTACCCTTTTAAAAATAAGATAAATTCTATATTACATCGTTCTTTCCTTTTCTATTCTAATTGAATTTTATTTTTTGTCACCTAAGCACATTAATACTGAAACCCCAAGAGCACTTCCGTGTGTGTAAAAGTGGCTTTTTGAAAAACATACATAGTTGCCCTTTATTCTTTTTTAAAAAAAATGTTTTCTTTGTTTGCCATTTGTTAGTCTTTTGCTTGGGAGCTTTAAAGAAATGATTAGAACCAGTTTGGAGCTTTTATTTGCCCATACAAACAGAATGCATCTAGCAGCATTATCAACCTCAGTTTCTCCATTTCATTTCATTCTTCAAAATATGCATGTCTTTTAAAGAATTACAGTAAAACCGTTAATATCAAGTAATGTAAAAATGATGGGTTTTTTCATGATGATATTAACTTTAAGAGATTTTCAGTATGTTTCTTGGCAAACTGAACACTCTATCCAATATAGTCCATAAATTGTATTTTAATACACCATATAATATTGGCATTTAAGAAAAATTGTATTTATTAGTGGAAAATGTCTAGAGTTCTAAAAATGTTTAATTTATGTAACATTTGTTATGCAGAAAGATTTCTTAGTTTGATACCAATTTTCAGAGTTCTTTGCATATGGCAGGCTTGCTTATTTTCAAGAGAAGAGAGATTTTAGGGAACAGTGATCAGCATGATAGACATTCAGAACCTCGATTAAACTTGTTCCTAAGACTCAAAATGAAAGTATGAAAAAGAATAAGATACTTTGATATATGCTGAAATTCATAAATGAACTTTAAATATGTTGAAAAGAAAATAGAAACTGTACTGTTCAACTATCCTTCATTAGATTCTGAACTTGAAGATTTTATATTCATTTTTGTTACACATCATTAAAACCTGAGTTTATAAAAGTGAAAGCCAGAAGAAAGAAAATTTTAAAAGGAATTATCGCACATTCTTCAGCATCATATGGAAGTTCAAAATGAAGAAATTTGGATCAGAATCTGTGACCCTGAAAGTCAATTTCGTCTGAAGATCAAATCCGAATAAATGAAGTTGACAAGAAAGAATGGAAGTTGTGGGAAGAATAGACATTTTCAGTCATTCACTATTTTTATTTGTTGTGTGGACACTTCAAAAATATTGGTATTGTATTGATATGTATTAATAACTGGTATTACTGGAATGGACATATCAGAATCCCTTTCATAATCTGGATGCTGCTTCAGCAATGGAAATCTTAAAAGAAACAAAAAGGACTCATGATTTTGAAAAAAGGCTGTGATTTAGAAGAAGAATGTTAATATTAAGAACATTTATGGATGCGGCAAACTCAGACTACATGTGAAACCTGTGGCACTTTGAGTTGGTGTGTTAAGGTAAAATACAATTTTTATCATAAAGGGCTGTTCCTAATTCTTGCTATTTTGGATACTGTTGTAATACATGTAACTTAAAATCATTTTAGCCCGAATGTTTGAGAAGAAGAATTAAAATAAGAAAAATCATTTGTGCATGACAAATACCTGGCATCACATGTCAAATGATCATAATATTTGCCCTGTAGCTTTTTACAACTAGGATGGAAAGAAAAGAACATTTGTATAAAAATAAAGTAGGGTTTCTTTGTTTTCAGTATATAGTGCTCTTACAATTCTTTTTTAAAAATAAGTAACAGCAAGCAATAATGATCAGTAATAGTCTGAGATAGACACTTCTTAAGTTTTCCTAATAAAAATTTCTACTTATGGTGTATCCACCAACATCGGAGTAATTCAAGTGCACTAGATGCTTATGAAGTTTGAATTCCTAAGAAAGGCCTGCTATTTTATTTAAATTTTTATTTTTAATTAATAAATATGTGGAAGCTTAATTAATCTTTTTTGCACTAGATGAAAGCTCCTAGAGAACTGGTTGAGATTTTTATAACTCAGTTATAAACTATGATGAGATAAGTAAACCCATATTAAATTGGCCAGGGATCCATTTACAGGTGGTCCTCAACTTACCACCACAATTGAGCCCAAAATTTATGTTGTTAAAAAGTGAGAAATTTGCTAAGTGAGTTTTGCCCCATATTACGACATTTCTTGCCACAGTTGTTAAATGAATCACTGCAGTTGATAAGTTAATAACCTGGTTGTTAAGTAAATCTGGCTTCCCCATTGACTGTCAGAAAGTCGCAAAAGGGAATCACATGGCTCTGGGATGCAGCAATGGTCACAAGTATGAATCAGTTGCCATGCATCTGAATTTTGATCACATGATCCTGGGAATGCTGGAAAGGTGGTAACTTAAAAAATGGTCATAAATCACTTTTTTCAGTGCCGTTATAACTTTGAACGGTCACTAAATGAACTGTTGTAAGTCGAGGACTATCTGTATTCCTAAATGCATTGAAAGTTCACAGATATACCCTTCTAAAGTATGACTTTTCCAAGTTAGTACGAGGTGGTATTCCTTTTGTGTTTTTTCCCCTTTAAAATATTCAGAGGTCACGCCCAAGGGTCTGTCTGAGGAAGTGGATAGCAGCACTTCTGTGATTGTGGTTTTTATTCTGCAGGTCCCAGCAGAGATGGCACAATTAGTGAAGACACTATTCGAGCTTCCCTTATATCAGCAGTCAGTGATAAATTGAGATGGCGAATGAAAGAAGAAATGGATCGTGCCCAGGCAGAGCTCAATGCCTTGAAGCGCACAGAAGAGGATCTGAAAAAGGGTCATCAGAAGCTTGAAGAGATGGTAACTCGTCTAGACCAAGAGGTGGTAAGCAGGAGGATACTCTTCCCTGAATAATTTTGCCTGTGCATTAGTACCTCTCCCCCCCGCCCTTCCTTCTACTGCGAGAGCATATGACCTGTGGTCAAACTTGTCTTCATAATGGTAGACAAATTGCAAAAAAAAAAAAAAACATATGTGAATGTGGAGTGTGTACATTTCTTTTTATTCATAATTATAGATTTTAGAAATGTAACTACTGTAGGATGTAGAAATTAGGTTAAATGGATATTGTGTAGTCTTATTAAATAGGGAACTTTTACATACATAAAAATGTATTTTACAATCTGTCAAATATTGGAAGGAAGCACCTGAGCATGTGTTGTTGTTAGAAGGTAAGCTGAAATAATTTTTGCTTGATAAGATGCATGTGATTTATTCTGAATCTGAAGGAGCAGTTTTTAATTATTTGTGGAGTTCACATATCTATAATGAAACGGTGACACCATCAAAATGGGCAGGTCCAATGGGGAAAACGCACTATTCCTAAACAACGGATTGAGCACAAAATGAAGTCATGACAAGCAGTTTCTGAAATTAAATCATACTTAATTATTAAGAAGGGCATTGAAAATTATTTTTTATAATAATATGTATTTATAGAAATATATGATAGGCCAGACTGTTGCATTTCAGAATGACTACTGTAATGTTGGGAAAACATAGTCAAATACTCAAATGTATTTGAGATCTAGAGTAATATCTAGTGAGTTAAAGGAAAAGATGAATAAAAGAATTTATGATAAAGGCTTATAAAATTACAAGGGCATTGAGAAAGTTAATTGATTATTCATTTTCTTATTTATATATTATACTTGAACCTAGAGTAATCTTGGTAAACTAATGATAAATGATTCAAGGTAGATTAAGTAATATATAGTTAAAATTATCAGCAGCAAGGCAAAAAACATTCTAAGCCATTTTTAAGAATAGTGACAATGTGCAGGTGGCTACCAGTCTGTTATCACTACTGAATCCCAAAGGAAAATAGTTAATGTAGGAAATACAGGATTTAATTCCAATCTATTAAGTCTCTTCTTAATTTCCTTGGGCTATTTTATATCAATTGTGTTGACAGCCAGTGATTAAAGATACCAGATTAGAAACTGGAATGACTTTGGGCTAGTTAGTCTGTCTCGGCCTTGGGAAAAAGTCAGTGGCAAATCAGTTCCCAAAATGTTGCCAAAAAAATTGCAGGGACTTGTCTGGGTGAAGACTCACTCAAAGGCACAACAACCCCCCAAAAGTACAATAGTCAGTAGGTGAAGGTGAAAAGTGAAATTTAGAGTGTCAATTTTAAATGGATATAAAGTCATTTTACTGTCTGTCTGTCCAGGCTGAAGTTGACAAAAACATCGATCTCCTGAAAAAGAAAGATGAAGAGTTAAGTTCTGCCTTGGAAAAAATGGAAAGTCAGTCAGAAAACAATGACATAGATGAAGTTATTGTTCCTACCGCACCACTTTACAAACAGATACTGAACTTGTATGCAGAGGAAAATGCTATTGAAGATACCATCTTTTATCTGGGGGAAGCACTGAGACGTGGAGTTATAGACCTTGACATCTTTCTCAAGGTAGTTTTAATGAAATATACGAATATACTGGCCCTTCCACTTGTCCACCTTAATTCTGAACTTTAATGCTATTTAGTAAATGTGATATGCAAATGCAGAATTTTCTTTTCCTGATCTAATATAGTATGCAGGCAGCAATTGTGGACCCACCATCCACATGGTAACTACAAAAATACAGTACAAGCATATGCTGTGATTCAAGTTGCTCTGCATTTCATCTCTTTGTTTAGTTTCTCTTTCCCACATTTCTCTTTGTTTTTTTCAACTAATTTACTTTGCAATTTATTTTTTCCACCAGTATTCTGCCAGTAATTAATTCTCTGCTCCTGGTTATTCAGATTATTATCTTGCTACTTTTCAAAGGAATCCATGTGTATATACTGAAGTTCCAGAGAGGTATCTTATGAATCTGGCTTGGCTTGGCTTGGCTGTTGGCCTCTCCCACTTACTTTTGTTGAATAAAATAAAGCACTCTCAACAGTGAGATCTAGGGAGAGAAGAAAATGGAATCACCAGAGCAAAATCAGTAGAGTTCTTTGCAGTTCACTCATATATACTTCACAGCAACACCATGCTTTATTTTAAAAAAGCATCTTCTGTTCTTTGTGTATTATCGCTGATGAGCGGAGGTAGTACAGTCAATTAAAGACAAGGAAATAATGGATTTAGATACCTTTATATAATACCTCTCTCAATCATGTTTTCTATAATTGGGACTAGTTTCCAGAATTCTTTGATAATATAACCAATTATAATCCATGCTCCATTAAGTTAATACATCCCAAATTGGTATTTGAAAACACTATTATATTATTATGTTAATTTTTATTATTCAGGTAGTCACCGACTTACATTATTTAATGACCATTTGAAATTACAGCAGCACTGAAAAAAGTGAGTTATGACCACTTTTCACACTTATGACTGCTGCATCATCCACATGGTCACATGATCAAAATTTGGGTGTTTGGCAACAGGTTCATATTTATGATGGTTGCGGTGTCCTGGGGTCGCTTTTTCTGACCTTCTGACAAGCAAAGTGAATGGGAAAGCCAGATTCATTTAACAACCCTTGTACTAACTTAACAACTGCATTAATTCATTTAACAACTGCAGCAAGAATGGTTGTAAAATGGGTCAAAACTTACTTAATAACTGTCTCACTCAGCAATAGAAATTTAGGCTCAATTGTAGTCATAAGTCAAGGGCTACCTGCATAGAAATGATCCACATTTAAATGTAGAGAGAGGAGAAGGAGAAAGGAAGGGGAAGTAGAGTAGGAAAGGATGGTGGAGGGAAGATAGGAAGTAGGAGAGAGGTAGAAGAAAGAGGTGTATGGAGAGCAGAAGAGCTAATAATGGGTTTTTATTTTTGGGGGCGTTGATGACAAGAGGAACTGATGTAATCATTAATTATTACTATATGATACTAGTTATGTATAGTATACATGTGATTGTATGTTATGAAAATGGAAATAAAAAATATGTTTTAAAAAAAAAGAAATGATCCACATTTACATCATATAGTGCCTTAGAATATAGTCCCATTTCTGCTAATTAGAGCAGCTTCCTGTTGATTTTATGGCTTTATCAATATGTATAAAATATATATATTATAATTAGTAAAAACCTCAATATACATTGTGGAAAGCTAAGCTTTCTGGAAATACTTGGAAGTAAACTTAAATCCATTTGGGAAGGAAAGGTACTAAAAATCAAACAATTTTTCTTACAATACATTTTATTTTGACCAGTTCTTTTCAAAATCAAAATCTGGATATTTATTTCAATAATGGGGTAATTGATGATCTCAAATACATGTATATCATGTTTATCAGTCTTGCACGATTTATCCTCGACCTGTTTTACTTCTTTTCAGCATGTCCGTCTCTTGTCTCGCAAGCAGTTCCAACTGAGGGCACTTATGCAGAAAGCAAGAAAGACTGCAGGACTCAGTGATCTCTACTAATCAATGGCATGAGAAAGTGTAATAGGGGCCAAATGGTCATATTCTGAGTTTCCTTTGAATATGTAGGTGGAAAAAATAAGTTATTATATCATTCAATTGTAAGATATTTTGAATGGATAATATATTTTTCTTTCTCTTCTTTTTGGTAAGGACTAGCTTTTATGAATGCACTTTCAATTTTCTGTAAACCTTTTGCATTGATGGACTGATGGCTAAATAAAATCCATTGCATAACCTTTTTTCCTTGTGCTATAGGTATTTGTGCAGTAAGCATGTCTTTCTTTTCATTTAACATCTGCAGAATATAGTTGAAATTGTTATTTGTGTACTTCTAAGATCAATTTGTAATAAAACCCTAGAAGATAGCTGAAGGCTAAAATGTCTTTTACATTATTTAAAAATTGTTGTATGATCCGATCTATTTGCTTGTTTAATAGACACTTCTTAGCATTGAAAAAACACTATCACTTCTCCCCTATTAAACCATAAATACTGTATGTTTTCTCATTGTTAAATCACCTATTCTTTTTTTAATCAGATTAATTCTTTCGGATGTCTCTTAAAATGTGCCATTAATTTAATGAATTAATAACAAATTCGAAGATGGTGATTACCTTGAATTACTTTAAAGGAGAACTATACCCAATAAACCAATGAAAATATGTAGATTAATTCACTATTAGCTATGATTGAAGTCTGTGAACCCTATGACTCTTATGTCATAGGAATCCTATATACTTTGATTATCCCATATTCAACTTTGATCTCTAAAGCCTCTGGAACTGATTTTATAAGAGGGAGAATTCCTTTTTTTGTCTTGCCACCAGTCTCACATATTAAAAAATAACCAAATTCATACACTAAAAAATCTTTAAAACAATAAAAATTATTAAGACCATGGAAAATACTACTGAGAGTGCAATTCAACTTACTAACAATGTAGTCCTTTAACAGGCTCTAACCCACTATTATCAGATCCCCCAGCATAATGATGCAGCCATGTCTTCAGACCTTTACTAAAGGCCAGAAGTGCTGGAGCTATTTTAAGTTCTAGGGGAAAGATGATCCAAAGGATGGGCATCAGGGTAGGAAAATGCTCTCTTCCTGTGTCCTGTCAGATGACGTTCCTTCATGGATGAGACATAACATACCTCTCATACTGGATTTGATGGGATGGGCGTCACTTAGTGAGGTTGCCAGTCCCAATTGTGGTCAGTAAGTGAAGACTACTTACTGTATAAATCAGGTGGGGGGGAGGGGAGAGAATAGGACCACTACCCCCCTCCTGAATCCTCCAGAAGTCATCCCTAAACACACACTATGCCATCTTGGATGCTGTATCTTGTCATTAATTGAACTTCAAAAAGGGTCCTTTGAAGTTGTGCACCTACAATTACCTCAACAAAATGGGAGGTTTGCAGCTGGATGAAACTTAAACCAGTTCTCTTACATCCAAGAATTACCTTTTGAGGAGAAGATGGGCTGTTACTGCTTCAAAACAGGGCAAATCACCCCATCCTGCAAAAAAAGGATTCACTACTGCTTAAATCCAACATGAATATAAAAAACAGGTGGCAGAATTCGCAGCAGCAAGGAGCTTCTGCAGGACCAACCAGCTGAAACTTTCCTGATAACCAGGCAAGATCATACCTCAATAATTTCCATAGGTCCTCAGCTGGCTCCAGCTATGAGTTGATTCCAGCACTTTATCTGCTAAATGCATATAATAACTATGAATTACTGATAAATAGCTTTTGTTTTTAATAATAGATTGAAATAATGTCCTGTAACAGACGGATTCCAAAACTTAAACCATGTTTTAGACCAAAAAAGCCCAACTTATCACTAAATTTAATATTTTAGCTTCCCACAATATCAGATAGGAATAGGGATCAAATATGAAAGGTTTTATTAAGTTTCCTCAGTAAATGCATTGGGATTTGCAGAACTGCTTAAACACAAGCCATTATGATGATGTGTAAATTCTGTGCATGCCTAAATAGTCTGTTTTGTATTTGCAAATATTGATGGTTGTATCCTCAGCTTGCTATTCATAATATTCTTTTAAGATTAGCTTGGAATTCTTCACCTATATATTGCATTAGTCCCTGTTACATAGGTATTATTCAGATCATGCTAATTTATGAACTGTAGCAGCACGCAAATTTTGTTGAATCTTAAATGAATCCTTGCATATATTTAGAAATACCAGGAGTGCCATTGTAAGGTAAGTATTGTGTTCTGGTTGAGACCACATATATAAAAATGTCAATTTAACTAGTGGAAAATATTTCTCAACCAATCCTAAAAAATAACTAAACCTTTTTCTTTCCCCTGCTTCAAGCAAATATGGATTTAGTATATTGTCAAAGGTTCGAGTTCCTTTCTGCTGAAACCAGGAACGCTTCGCTTATTTACTATAGTACTTAATTTTAAATGGGTTTATACTTTTTCCTGAAGCTTCCTGCTGATAACTGTATAATCCAATTATCATATAATGCTTCAGCACGATGAAACTGTATTGGGAGGGCAGCATGGCTCTGTGATTTAAGAGCATTTGATGCCCATCAGCCATGGCTTCATTTGGACAGCTACATAAGACCATTTTAAGTGTTTTATTATTAATTTAAAATTGCGACCCATCTCGCCACAAGGCAGGTGCTTTTATAATAGAATTTCCAATTGAGCCATATCCAGAATGTGACACAAGATTATTTTTGGGCACTTGTGCTGTTGAACAAGATGAATTTGTCTAGTCTTCCAGTGTAAATGAAACGGCTGCAGGTCATCAACATACACCTTGATTTTCAATTGTGGCATGGTTGTTACTCAGCGAGTGATGCGGTGACCTAGGGATGGAGCTCTCACCTCACAATCAGGAGGCTGTGAGTTCGATCCTAGGTAGAAGCAGATATTTCTCTCTCTGGACACATTGAGATTTTATCTGCTGAATATAACTGTATTGGCGACAGGAAGGGCATCCGGCCAGTGAACACTCCGCCCAATTCAGTTGCCCAGACTCCACCCTGCAAGGGATTATGGGGCCATTAAAAGACGATGATGGTGGTGGTTGTTACTCAGCCCTTCTAGAGTAGGCAACTGATATGCCATGGTTACCCCCCATGTTGACCCTCATAATGTGCTTTATCTTCACAACTGTGGCTTGTATCCAATCCTAGCAATTAAAAAAATGCATTGGTTGAAATTTTCAAACAGAACATAATTAAGGTTTTGATGTTACTTCTGAAGCCCTAAACATTTTAGAGTTTTTTCCATTACAAATGCATTTGACTGCAAGAAGGTCCTTACTGAGGATCCTATAGGCTGTCTCAAGAGAAGACAAATCTTTTGGCATGTAGGAATCAGCCTTTTCAGGTAACGCTCCTCAGCAATGGATACATCCAGTCCACACTCCTGGCATCCAGAAGGGTTCGTCCATTTCATCAAATGTTTCCGTTTTAACTGTTACTAATTTTTGGCATTAGTTTTAGAGTTCATTTTCAAAAATGATGTTAGATGTTGTCTTGAGCGCTTGCCAGAAGCGTGGGTGCGTATGAAATAAAATGAAGGCAGACAAAAGTAATTGATGTTTATTTTGCTCTTTTGGGCTGGTACTAAAGCTAGACAATTGCATCAATTCTTAATGTTGCATGCAGTTCCCGCAGGAGAGTACAATGAGTTCTCTTGAAAAATATACACAAAGACCTGAAGCACTGATGTCAGGAAAAATACATTTACCATTGCTCTGTAGTGAAAATTTAAGTCACCTGTCAGCAGAAAATATTGGTCAGTGAATTTGCCAATCATTTTCGACAGCAAAATCTTTGGAAAACCAAGTAACTTATTTTCTGATCTGATGTTAACTGGGAAAAAGCAGGATAATTTCATTTAGTAGTGTTAAGTAGATGCTGGATTGACTGTCCCTTCATAAAACTAGATTATATTCCTATTTTGGTCACAGATCAAGATAGGAATCTTGCAGCTTCTGTTTCTAAATGAGGAAGAGGAATATTGTTATTTAACCACTGATGCTTCAAATACATACTTGCAAAGGAATTGTCTCATTTGAAAAGTGCAAATAACCATCAACTAAGGCCTGTTTCACATTAGTAAACAGCAAAGAGACAGACTTAAAATTGAAGCTCCTTTTGGATTCCCCACAGTGTCTCCGCACTCTTCTTCAATTTATTTTCTTCTTCAGTCTTCAGAGTCATTTTGATCACATCTGTAATGCCTGAAGAGCCCAGAATGCATGGAATACTTAGGAAGACATCATCCTTAATTCCATGCATACCCTGGAAAGGTAAAATATATATGGCCATGAAATACCACTTTTCTTTAAATATAATGGACATTTTATCATCACTGGAAGAAATTAGAGAAAGCCACATAATTTATAGGGAGAAATAGTCTAAAAACCTTCAGATAAAAAAGGTTAAATAATTATGTAGGCAGTGTTTGGACTAAAAACTCCTATGAGGGAGATGAGCAGTTAAGCTTGGTGCACACATACACACACATACATCCTCTTGATACCAATTTGCTTGAATAAAAGAAAAACGGAAGGGCTTATGTTTTAAGATCACTGATATACACAGGAGGAGACAGCAAAAACAGTCAAGATGGTAGCTGCCCATAGTGGTCAATTTGTGTGTCAATCTGTACAAAGGAATGATTGTACTCCTGCAGCTGCCATGTTGCCCATTTTGAAATCCATACTATTAGCAGAACTATCTGAGATCATTAGAAATGGGAAGCCTGTTTTGAATTTGTCTAAGGAAGGGCAGTAGTCATCTGACTGAGGTTGAGAAGACACTATAAAAATGTACTTTTTGACCAGAAATAGAAACAAAGGCTCATTGAGTTGTTCTCTCTATCGTTAGCTGAACTCTTTTGGGGGAGAACTGCAGAACCAGGCAGCCACTATTAAGTTCCCCACCCTACTTCCCACCTTGGAAAGTTACCCTTACACCAGGGAACATCTTGTGAAGACAGGGTTCATTCATGTACTGCCCTTTTGGGAAAGAAGCAGAGAACATGCTGTCGGGATTGTCTGATCAACAGGCTTTTGCAGTTACAGCCGCAAGAGGTCTACCGAGTATCCCAGAAGCAAACTTGCCCTTTTTGCTTGATTGCCTCCTTAGGCCTTGTAAGCACAGCCTTCCCAGATCCCTAGAGCTGCCCTTTCAGAATTGGGTTTTGCAGTATAAAAAAAGTAGCTGACTTTGCCTTATCCGTCCAGATCAGACCAAGGAACAGAATGCCAACAACCACCCTCTGAATTTCCCTGAACCTTAGGAGAGAACCACAATCATGTGACTGAAAGGTATCCAAGCCTTTCTTCCTCTTCCCACTAACCTACCTGCTTTCTCTACTCTCCTGCCCCTCCACATTCTACCATGATTAAACTTGAGCTATCTTTTTGGTCCCTCTTTTCTCTTTCTGAAATCCCAAAGGAAGCACAATGCCCCCTCTCTTCCTCTACATATTCAACAGACATATAGCAATAGCAATAGCAGTTAGACTTATATACCGCTTCATAGGGCTTTTCAGCCCTCTCTAAGCGGTTTACAGAGTCAGCATATTGCCCCCAACAACAATCCGGGTCCTCATTTTACCCACCTCAGAAGGATGGAAGGCTGAGTCAACCCTGAGCCGGTGAGATTTGAACTGCAGAACTGCAGTCAGCTGAAGTAGCCTGCAGTGCTGCATTTAACCACTGCACCACCTCGGCTCTATATTACCAAAAAAAAAAGGGGGGTGCTTCTATTACTCTATTCCCAAAAACCTGCGTGCTCCCCATTCTTACTCCTAAGCATTGTTTCCTACTGGGTTTTTTTCCCAATACAGCTTATATGCTTTCCCCACTGAATGTTATTTCTACAGTGATAGCTACTTTGTCTTCCGTGACTGTTCTTTTCCCCATTAAGTGATTCAGTAATGTCTTCTCCCTTCGGATTGCTATTCCCTCACCTCATTATTATTGCAAAGGCTATTTTTCCCCGCTGCATGTATGTCTTTCATTGCTCTTTCTCTGCCTTCACTATGCTGTTTCTCAACAAAATCCAGTCTCTTTCTGAGGTATGCAGGAGTGGTGTTTTTGAGGTCCATATTCACTCTGGTATGTGTAGAATATTTCAGATCTTTAGTTTAGTCTTGCTTGCATTCCAATTCCTGCTGGATCCAGGATGTTGGAACTGAATTGTGGCTAAATACGCAAATTATAAAACCATAATGACTAAAGTAGTAGATGATTACCTTCACCATTGTAGAAATTGGATGTACTCTCCTTAAATTCTTCATGATGGTTTCAGCCAGATCAGCCACAGACAGACCAATTGCCCATGATGTGTATCCCTTCAGCTTGATCACCTCGTAAGCACTGCAATAGATTACAACGTTAAGATTGGTCTGCAGAACTATGGCAGCACTCATGATGTTGCTAGGAAATGATCTAAAACACAGCAAACTAGTTTGCAAATTAAACCAATGGTTTCAGATTGTTTAGTTCTGAAATACATGTACTTCAGAAATATATAAAAAGATGGTGCCTGCCAATAAATTCCAACATATGTTGGAATGTTGGGGTCTTATAATACTTGTGGAACTACCTAAGTCTGTGATTAAATTTTATCACAATGTGATTATATTTTGTCGCACTGTATGTTTTGTATGATTCTTAGCCACATAAATTTGAAGTGTTACCTGTCCACCACCTGTTTGTGGACTTCCTTCCAGTTCTCCTTGTCTCCATCAGTACCCATTTCAGGATGCAACTCTTTTAGGGAGACACCAGCAACGTTCACACCACTCCAGACAGGCACTGAATAAAAAAGATTTTCCAGGTTATTCACGCCTTCAAAACACAATCTCATTATATTTACAAAATTATATGGTTAGCGTAAAAAAGCTACCACTTTAATTCTCCCACACATGAACCTCAAGGAAAGCTATGAAACAAATAAAAACGGATGAGCTGGTTCCAAATATGCCCTTCATTCTAGTAAGCAATGAAGATCCATTTACTGTAAAGGAACAGCTTGAGCCTTTGACCTGGTTAGAAAGAGATACTGGATTAGCTCCAGATAACCGGGACCCAAACCTACCCTCATTTTTGAATGAACAACTTTGGCAGGAAAAGAAGTGAGTAAATCTTTAACAGCAGCTCCTTTTCATACTGACTTACTGACCAATCAGTGCCTCTTTATTGTGGACCTTGGATCTTTTTTCGAACATAACTGGAATTAATGTGAAGCTCCTCCAGCTTTTGTACCCCTTGCGCAAACACATTTCGTTCTCTTAAGATGGTCAAGTACCCTCATTTTCTTTGTAAATTCTGTATCCATGTTTCTCAACCTTTATCCTTACCTTCAGAACACAAGTTCCTTGTATAATTAATAAGTGACTAGCCTTATGGAATGAGATAAATCCCCGAGCTTCATCCTCCTCAGAATCAGATTAATTAATCAGTTTAATCCTTTTAATGAAGTCCAAACATACTGACACAACTGATTTTCTTACTAAGTCACGGCAATTATATACAAAATGGCTTGGACGTGGTAAGCAAGCTGTGAATAGTCCTCTCTGCTTCTACAGCTAGAATTTGGCTTGGACACCATGTACTATGTATAATTTATCCTGCAGGGCTTGTGGAACAGCAAACACTGCTCCTTTCAGGCACAGGAAACCTGGGAACAGATTTTAAAAGTTGGGTATTATATTTCTGATCTTTTATTTTTGTTTAGTTTCACTACATAAGAGTTTACTGGATGAAGCAGAATTTTGTAGCAATTTTATCTTCATCCCAAAATGAAAAGGAGCCTGAGCAATTAATGCAAATGCATGAGATCTGACTAACATTTTCTTGTTACATTTTATTGGAATGGAGGACTGGCAAAAATGGACGAGGAGAAGTGAAAAAGATCCAATACTGTATTCCAAAGCAAGAATGATTAACTAAATATTTCCTTTATTATGTCCTTAGTTTTTGTTTAAGAGTAGCTAGCCAAGTATTTTGTAATATATGACATAGAGGTAGGTAGTTATTGTATCACAAAGTGCAAAGTAAAGCAAACCTTTCTGTGTACAGGGTTACACAACTGCATGAAGAATAAACTATCAATGCCTAATGTTACACCATAACATTGAAAATATATATTCCTGGGCCTTTTTAAGAAATTTCAAATTTCATCAAATGGTCTATTGCACGGGTCGGCAAACATAAACACTCCAAGAGTCATTTGGACCCATTTCCCAAAGAAAATAAAATACTAGGAGCCACAAAGGTCCTAACCGGAAGC